GCCAGTGTGGATGTACAGGTCGCCAGTGTGGAGCCCGGCTATGGCGCCCAGTTAAGTACCGCTGACGCAGGTATGTGTTGTTGTTGTTGTTGTTGTACAGGTCGCCAGTGTGGATGTACAGGTGGCCAGTGTGGAGCACGGCTATGGCGCCCAGTTAAGTACGGATGACGCAGGTATGGCCACCGCCCCTCTTCTTCTTCTTCGTCTTCTTCTCCTTCTTCTTCTTCTTCTTCTTCAGGTCGCCAGTGTGGAGCGCGGCTATGGCGCCCAATTAAGTGTCGCTGACTTTGGTATGTGTTGTTGTTGTTGTTGTTGTTGTACAGGACGACAGTGTGGAGCACGGCTATGGCGCCTAGTTAAGTACGGCTGATGCAAGTATGGCCTCCGCCCCTCTTCTTCTTCTTCTTCTTCTTCTTCTTCTTCTTTTTCTTCTTCTTCTTCTTCTTCTTCTTCTTTTTCTTCTTCTTCTTCCCTACTAGGAAGGAATGGAATAACAAATCCTGCAAAGATGGGAAATAATACAATAATACTTAACCAAGGCAATTGATTCATAATGAAAAATATATCTATTTAAAATAAGGAATATTGAAGAAAATAATATTCTTAAAAATCTATGATTCATTCAAATTTTTTAAAAATATGTACTTCTTCTTCCCTTCTTCTTCTTCTTCTTCCTCGTCTTCGTCTTCATCTTCTTCGTCTTCTTCTTCTGGTTGTTGTTGTTGTTGTTGTTGTTGTTGTTGTTGTCGTTGTTGTTGTTGTTGTTGTTGTGCAGGTCGACAGCGTGGAGCACGGCTATGGCGCCCTGGTGGTTGTGGTTCTGGTTGTTGTTGTGGTTGTTGTTGTTGTTGTTGTTGTTGTTGTTGTTGTTGGGCAGGTCGACAGCGTGGAGCACGGCAATGGCGCTCAGGTAAGTACCGCTGAAGCAGGTATGACCTCAGTCCCTCTTCTTCTTCTTCGACAGCGTGGAGCACGGTTATGGCGCCCAGGTGGTTCTTCTTCTTCTTCTTCTTCTTCTTCTTCTTCTGCTAGTGGTTGTTGTGGTGGTTGCTGTTGTTGTTGTTGTTGTTGTTGTGCAGGTCGAGAGCGTGGAGCACGGCTATGACTTATAGTTCTATTTGCCATGTAGGTTACCCTTTAATTGGTTTTTCATGTGGAACTATCGAAGGTATACAGTCTTTACTAATAGGTGTTTTCATTTATGTAATAATGACCATCAATGTATTTGGAATAGTTTTAGCTTAACGCCAAAATCGTTTCAAATATATAGCGGATTTAGCCGCGTTAGCGTTGACGAATCCGATTTTAGCTATTACAATGTCTATTACGTCCAGGTGGTTGTGGATCTGGTTGGTGTTGTGGTTGTTGTTGTTTTTTTT